AAAAAGGATTTCTAATTGCATTAACATTTAAAACTTGTGACTTGTATGATTAAATCAAAAGCATGAAAAATAAGAAAATGACAAAACCTAATCTCGAACAAATCAAACACTAAAGGATGTAATTAAGAAAAAAATCAACTACATGGGCAAAAAATGAAATTAAAAAAATAAGGACATCTAAAAAAATTAAATTAAAGGGTGAAATTAAAAAAAAACATAAATATTTATTGAAGGAAAAAAATTAAAAACCAATAAAACTCTAACAGAAAAACCAAAGGTCAAAATAAAAAATCAAAAGGATAAGGATTGAATTGAAAAAACATATATGAAAAATTATAATTTAAGGATTGAATTGAAATCATAAAAAAGTTTTATAAAAGGGTCAAAGAAAAAATTAAGTTGTCAAAAATATAGAAACTGGATTTTTTTTTTTAAAAAAAGAAAAGAGGACAGACATATACTTACTCTAGGAGATAGAGACAAGAAGGATAAAAAAAGAAACGTCAACCAATGATAAACCACCAATCAACCACCATCACGCACTACATCAATGGTGGCACTTCTAGAGACATGATGGAAGACTAGGTTTGGAAAATTAATGGTGTTGCATACGCTGCCTAAAAAGCATGGACGCTACCAACACGATAACGTATAATCATTCATGCTAGCACCTTTTCATATAAAAAATAAAATAAAAATCAATAAAAAATTATTAAAACGTTACTTATTAATCTAGAAATAACAAATAAATCAATATAAAAGTACTAAAACAACCTTCAATATATAAATGACCTTTGTCTTTTCTAAGGGTAAATGCATAATTTTTCTATAGCTGAAGAAGTGAAAACCCTAGAATGTCCTTGGCAACAACTCAATTATTTTTTAACCTCCAGGGTAAAGAAGTTTTTTTACTATTGAAAAGATTGTGAATTATCAAAAAATTCATTAGTCAATAGGTTTTTTTACTGTATAATTAAAATTAAAAAGACTAATATATTCTCATTCAATTTTTTAATTACTAATAAGCATATAAAAAAGACCAAGTATCTTTAAATCATAGACTTTTCTTTCTTTCAATCATAGGGTAGAATAGTAATGTTACTTTCTATGAAAAGAAAAAAACAAGCCCACCCCAAGCCTTTGAAAATGAAAAAAATCCACAGTCCATGGTAGTTATATCTTGGTCTACAATGGACATGCATAATAGTTTTTCTATGTTATTTAGAGTTTTCTATAATAATATAATTGTTTGATGTAAAAGAAAAAACATGTTACACTTGATATTGTCCATGTTATAGTATTAAGAAGAGTCATCCTACCAAACCAAATTAATTTTAAAGATTAATTTGTTAAACTCGTGATTTAAGTCATAAATTTTCAATCGATTTAATATTAAAAGATAAAATTAAAAAAAAGTCAATAAAAAAAATCAAGTTAATTAGTTAAACATATGATCATGGTTATAGTCACGAGTATAAAATAACCTTATAAAAAATAAATTGAAAAAATTATAAAGTCCAATCTAAAATAAATCTAAACCCTAAAAAATATGATGAAATTAAAATTTTAAAGAAAAATATAGATTAGAAAAATATAGTATGATATGAGGAGATAAATAATTGAGAGTGGGAGTGGCTGCAAGCAAATTTTGAATGAATGACATGTAGTTTACAGAAAAGCAATTTAAACTAACAGGGAATTACGTGTAGTTCACTTGCATTTGATATAAACGGCATGTCGCTTACGACTTTGCTACCTGGTTTCCTATTTTATCCTTGATAATTACCCTCAATTCCCAACACTACCACCTGCTAAAACCCCCGCCTTTCTTCTGCTGTAAAAAAATCACAGCTCCTGCTGAAACACTAATAAAGCACTAGCCTTTCGCCACCCAAAACTCTCTTCCTCACCTCAGTTTCTCCAAATTCACAACGTTATACACAAGTAAGGACGAGAATCACTGTAACTCTTCTGGGTTTTCTATTTAAGACAGATTTTGCTTGTTGATTTTCAACATGTTTGTTTAAAGTTCGAGTCTTGCAGATTTCTACAACATGTTTAGGTTTTATTAGGAGTTTATGCTTTCAGGTTTGATGTTTCTCTCATGTGGGCTATTCATTTTCTGGCTAATTCTTCTATGAACAAGCAAAGATATTTAGTGTTGGTAAGGCATGGCTGGAGTATCATCTTGGTTATATGAATTTTTCCCACAGAAAATGATTGCGTGCTTTAAAGTGTAGAAATTGTAGAAAAAATCTTGACGGGATTACTGAAATATCTGTTGTATTTTGGTATTGAGTTCTTGCACTTGTTGATGAATGAAACCTACACTGAGATGTTTATGGTGTCTGCATTATAGTTTAGTTGGCATTAACTTCATGATGATACCTGTTATTAATTCAAGTCCAATACTAGCACTTTGTTAGAATCTATCTATCAGCTCATAAGGAATTGCTTCAAGCAGTTTTCAGGATGTTGCTATAATGTGTTTCTTGAATCCTTTGAACTGCCAATTGAATTGGTGACTCTAAGTACATATGCTGGGAAATGTCAGGTTGGTATAACACCTATTACATGTCCTCTAGGAGTGTCAAAACCGCTTATATCAGCTCTCGAAGCATTGTGATTTTTCCTGCATTTTTAGATTGAAAATGGTCTATGCAGTTGAATAGCTTCTGTGGATATAAGTTTTTATTGCTGGAGCCTGGGAATTCAAGAATACGTTGATGATGGATATTGCAATAGATGCAACCTGTTAAAAAAGTTGGGACCAAATTTAGTAATTTTTGTATGGAAATCTTTTTCCCTTGTCCTGAGCGCACATGCTGCTAACTGTTAGATCTAGTTTTTTAATGTTCATTCTTCTGTAGATTCTGAGTTTTATATGAGATTAGTTCCTTGGTTCCTATATTTTTGCTACATGTGAGCTGCTTGTTTATGTTAGGTGCCATTGTGAAGGCTTTGACAGGAAACGCAAAGAATTTAGTTTAACATGATTTTATCATTTATGGAATGGATACACAACAAAAGGAGAATTGTTGCATGATTTATGTGGGAACACAACCATGAATTGGTGGTTATTGTTTTTTCAAATGATCACATCATTTTCTTCAAAAGTGACCTTGTAAGAGTCAAGTAATCCCATCTTTTAGTAGGTTGAGTTGAAAGAACAGAATATATGATGAAATAATATATGAAAGTTGCTAATGATGTGCATATCTTGTTCTATACCAGATAGCAGGAGAAGCAATTAAACCAGGGACTATGAAGGAAGAAGATGTGAATTATTGCCAGATTCAGGAATGGTACCCAAAATTCAAGTCTGTATCCATTAAAACAGTAATCCATGAACTTCCAGAATCTTTTGTCGAGTACCTTCTTGATGATTCTGGTCCTTTCCTCATCCCTCATTCTATCTCAATCCCTGCCCAATAGAATTCACAACCCTGTAGATGAAGAAGACTATCAGGTGTCAGAAGGTTCTGGAGATGAATCAGAACAACCACCATTGCCCCCTTCTTTCCCAGAACTTGAATTGAACATTAAGGAGTCAATTAAAACCCTTGGAGGTGCAGTTTTTCCTAAGCTGAACTGGAGTGCTCCAAAAGACTCTGCTGGGATAAGTCCATCTGGTTCCCTTCGCTGCACTTCGTTCAGTGAGATAGCATTATTGCTTCAGTCATCTGACTCACTGGTCCATGATTTGTGTCACGCCTATGACACATTCAGTGACAAAACCTTGTCAAGACCCCCAAGCATTCATCTTTCTTGCCTGAGATGGAATTTCGTTGCTTTGTTCGGGATACGCAACTAGTTGGAATTTCACAGAGAGAAGTGACTACATTTTATCCCACACTCCTTGAGAAGAAAAATGACCTTCTATGGTTGATTGAGGAATTTTTCACAGATAACGGTAGAATAAAATTTGAATCAGAAAATTACACCTTTGATGTCTATGTGATGAAGGATGGGCGTGCTAAGATATTGGATTTTAACCCATGGGGTGCATTTACACTTCCGCTGCTTTTCACCTGGGAGGAACTGGAGCAGAATCTTAGGGGAGAGGAGGATGGGGTGAATTTCAGAATCGTGGAGAACCAGTGTGGAATTCGGCCAGGTCTGAAAACAACAGTCCCGCGAGATTACTTGGATACTAGCCCAGGGAGTGGCTGGGAACAGTTCTTCAGGAAGGCTGACAAGGAGTTGTGGGAGCAGAAAAGATCTCCTGAAAACGTTGCCTGAGGGTTCTAATTATTTTTTGACTTCGAGGTTGCTGTGCTGTTAGTTTATCCTCATTGGCTTCGTTGGCAATAAGTACGGTTCGGACATGAACACTGGATCCAGTACTTTTGCCGAGCAAGGGACATGTGATTCAACAATAATGATTTGTAGAGAAGTTTGTACTAGTAAATAGTTTTCACAGATGCAGTTTAACTTTCTTCTTGTGTAATAGATTTACCCAGACATTGTAATGTTACTTCTTTATGGATTGATAGCTCCATGAGGAACTGATCATTAGTACAGAGATACCATAGTTCTGAAATATCATAAACAGGCTTATGGGCTATAGCTGAGGTTCATCTCCATGAGCATGAAGTGGTAGACATTACAGACGGTTAAATTCTTACTAGAAGAAAGCTTTACAAATGTTGTTTTAATCTCAACTTTTTTGTGTCTGCAGTTCACTTGCTATTAGACATAACAGACGGTTAAATTCTTATTAGAAATTAAAAATGCATTAGCAATACATGTATATTTTCATACTAGCTATGATTCAAAAGAGATGGTGAGAAAACATTTTATTTGAAACTAGACCAATCTAAACTGATAGTTTATATTTTTTTTTTGAAGAAATAAATTGATAGTTTATTAAATACCTTATAAAATGATTTTATATAGGTGCAAGAAAGTTACCCTTATATTTTATTTTTATCCCCAAAATATAAATATATCTTCACATCTTACATTTACTACCATTTTCTTTCTTTTCACCCTTCTAGTAAATCAAGAACATTTTGCACATGGCAGGCCAAGCACCCTCCCATGTTCGAAGAAGAATCAAGTAGCCCTTGAAACCCAAAAGAAAACACTCACTTACACACAGCTCATGGCATCTGGGTCGCTCTTCCTCTCTCTCACAAGGTAATCTCCAAAACCCCCCTTTTTTCCCACTCTTCATTTTACCAATTCTCTGTTTGGTTTCCAAGAAAATCCATTGAAACAAAACTATTTTCTTCATTCAAAGTACCTTACTTTACTCATTTTCTCATTTCCTAAACACAAAAAGATCCAAACTGAGATCTCTATGTGCATTAGAGAAATGGAAACCTGTTAGGTTTCTTTCTTCAGGTGGTGCTTTAAGAAGTGAAAGTGAATTCCTTGAAGAAGAGGAATTGAAATCAAAGGAAAATGAAGATGACTTGAAGGGTAGAATTTTCAGGCTTAGACTACCAAAGAGAAGTGTAACAAATGTTATAGATAAATGGGTCAGGGAAGGAAACACTGTTTCTGCTTCTGAGTTAAGGCATATCTCTAAAGAGCTAAGGAAGTCTCAGCGTTTCAAGCATGCACTTGAGGTTTGAATTCTGTTATTTGTTTGCTCTTTCTGAAAGTTTTTTGGTTACCCTTTTCTTTTGGATGCTTAGAAAGTAATAGAGTTTGAGTAATTGAGTACTGCTGAGTAAAAAGTTTGGTGCTTTATGGTGATGTATAAGAATAGAATCATGATTCATGGATCTTACAAACTGCACCTGCTTATGAAAGTGATTGGTTGTAACCGTTAAAATAGAGCAAAGAATGATCACAAAAGAGAAAAATATTAGAGAAGTGGAAGGAATACTAGATTTTGGTGTAGGATTTTTTTTTTTCATATGATAAGTGGTAGATGTTTTTGGTCTTGAGACAAAAAAATTGCATCTTGTTGGATTTTGTGTGTTTTCGGTGTGGCTCTACCTATCTTTTCTTCAAGTTCTTACTGTTCTTTCTACTTTAAGTTATGTTGTTTATAAGATTTAAAATTCTTGTTAGTCTTTGTAATAGTCACTTTACTGGAGGCAGCATAATTTGTGGATATACATTGCTTTAAAGTTGAAGAATTTATGTTTAACTGTGTCTTGTAAAATTCAGGTTTTTTTTTTGTTGAACTAGAAATCATATTAAATATATTTTGTAAGTGTTTCATTGGTAAGGATAGTCAGTTACTCATGTACACATCCATTGTCCAATGAAAGAATGTAGGATGGAACATTTCTAAAATTTGTGTGCATTGATACAAAATGTTGTGAGGGGAGTCTCCATTTTATGAATAATGGCTGAGATGATTAAAATGAACATCTTAAAACAAGCTTTGGTTGTTAGGGTGAGGAAGAGGGATTGGAGTGGAGGGCGCTGCTAGCTCACAGGAGATGCTAAACCTTAAGGTTGATTGAATGAAGAAATGACAATATGACTGATGATATAGATTGATAATGGGAGAGGTTTGAGTTTTTGGGCTTCTGTGGTGGAGTTACAGGGCTCATGGAGATGATTTAGTGGTGAATCCTCTCTTATCTGAACAAAGTGATGAACCAGTTTTGTGTTCCAAGATCACGATTCTTGGAGATCATTTTTGTTGAAATAACTATATCATAAAATGATGACTATGCTAGAAAGAATTGATGAACCAGTTTTGTGTTCCAAGATCACGATTCTTGGAGATCATTTTTGTTGAAATAACTATATGATAAAATGATGACTATGCTAGAAAGAATTGATGAACCAGTTTTGTGTTCCAAGATCACGATTCTTGGAGATCATTTTTGTTGAAATAACTATATGATAAAATGATGACTATGCTAGAAAGAATTCATTGGTGAAACTCGCAAGTCATAGCTGCAGTTTGCTTTCTAGAAAAGTTGATACTCTGCTTGGTCAATGGCTTATTAACAGGCCTAAGAAATTAAACTTCAAATTCCCATAATGGTTGGCTTTAGAAACTACACTTCAAATTCCCATAATGGTTGGCTTTCATGACACATGCTTTTCTCCCTGTCTTTTAGTTATTACCGAAGTCATAAGCATTGGTTAGGAAATTTTAATTAAATTTCCTGTTATGAAAATATTTCACTTTTCACAGTATCTGTTGATTCAAAAACATACATGTTCTTCTGTCATATAACAATGTTATTGCAGATATCAGAATGGATGGTAACACATGAAGAATTTGAGTTATCAGACACTGACCATGCAAGCCGTATTGACTTAATGACAAAAGTTTTTGGTGTTGATGCTGCTGAGCGCTACTTTGATGATCTACCTCTTGCAGCAAAAACTACTGAAACCTACACTGCTCTCCTCCACTCTTATGCTGCGGCAAAATTGATTGAAAAGGCTGAGGAATTTTACGAGAGAATAAAGGGATCAAACTTGTCCTTCTCTGCTCTCATGTACAATGAGATGATGACTTTATACATGTCAGTTGGACAGCTGGAGAAAGCCTCTCAAGTTGTTGAAGAACTGAAACATCAGAAGGTTTTTCCTGATATCTTCACTTACAATCTCTGGATAAGTTCATGTGCTGCGGCTCTAAATATTGATAAAGTTAGAAGGATTTTGGATGAGATGAGCCAAGACTCTGGTGTTAATGATGATTGGATGAGATACATTAAGATAGCGAACATATATGTCACAGCAGGTCATCTTGTGAATGCAGAGTGCAGCACTGCCGCTGTAGTTGAAGCTGAGAAAAAAATCACTCAGAGAGAATGGATAACGTATGATTTCCTTGTTATCCTATATGCAGGTTTAGGAAAGAAAGATAAAATCGACCAAATCTGGAAATCCTTGAGAATGACTAACCAGAAAATGACGAGCAGAAACTATGTATGCATTCTTTCTTCATATCTGATGCTTGGACATTTGAAAGAAGTGGGAGAAATTGTTGATCAATGGAAACAATCTACCACTACAGACTTTGATATCTCTGCATGCAATAGGCTTCTGGATGCGATCTCTTGTCTGGGACTAACTGAAATTGCCAACAACTTCCATATGCTACTGATCGAAAGGAATTGTGACCCCAAACATATATCAGAGTAAGCGCTTGACTCGGATTATCTTGGCTAGGAAACTATGACATTAGCAATGCCTTCATAGACATTCCATAAGGAGAATAAATACACTTGCATTTCTCACTGGTTTGCTGCATATCCAAGAGCAAGAATTGATTATACTGCAAACTAATATGCTGTGGTGCGGGTGTGCTACTGGTCATTTTCTTGAAACTCGGAAATTCATATTTATGTTTCTTTTTCTTAGTCCCTGTTAAGTCCTTTCGAGCATTTCAGCACTAAACAACGTAATTGGAAACGGAACCAAAGCTATTAGGATTGGAATAGATAAAGAGCTCTATGTATCAGGATTGGATTCTGAGAGAAGAGAATAAATGCAGTTGATGTTGCTGCTATTTGTTTTTGGTCGTTCATGGCTTGTGCTAGTAAAATCCATTTTGCAGATGTAGAGATGTTTTCTTTCTGAGACAAATGGATCTTGTCTCTTGTGCTGGCGTTGATTTGTGGCCGAAGATGTACAATAAGATTGCTCTTTTAATATTGTGGTCTGGAGGTGGTAGGGGAGTGTTCAAATATGTCTCTTTTATGTGCTGCCAAGTATAGAAATGAGAACCTCTTTTACCATCTTGTTATTGCATTAGTCTCTCTAATCATTTCAATTTTTACCCTTTTCCAGACCCAGCAGCATACAAATTTTGGATTTTTTACAAGTCATGCAAATCTACACAGAAAATGTCTGTAATGTTTTAGAAGGCACTATAGTGTATGAATTGGATGGTATTACCTCACAAACTAGAGGAATTGGATTTTGTGATGGTGCTATGAACAGTGAAGCACATCACTTTTTTTTTTAAATTGATCCTTAGATTTTCTTTTTTTCATTTTTTCAATTTTGTTATACCTGTATGAGATAAAAAAAATTATTTAATTAAAAATTAACTACTATACTAAAAAGTAGGGTTTTTTTCACCTATTTTACTGTACTTATGAACAATTAAGAAAATGATAATTTTTTCCTCTTTTTTTAATTCTATCTTTTTTTTTAAAAAAAATAATCTATCTTTCATTGATTTTTTTCTTTAAATGGATTGTTTTTATCTTTTTTTTCTTTCAGCATTATCTTTTTATATTTTATTGATATTAAATTAGCCATCATGATATGTTTTAATCACTTTTTAATAGGTTATTGCAACCTTTGATAAATATATCGGTATTTGGTTGATACTTCATTTTATTAGCATTATTTTTATTATTATATTATTAAATAAAAAATAATTAAAAATAGTTTTTTATATCCAGTGAAGTCAATGATTCTACTTGTTGATTTGATAAGTTAAGTCATGGAAATTGGGTTAATCCCATATATTATTGTGTTAATATTAAAAAAAATATTATTATTATTTTTTTTATAAATTAAATTATATTTTTATTGGTTGTTCAAGTTATCTTTGTACATATTAATTCATATAGGGCAAATTTGATATTGATTAATTTAAACCTAGACTTAAGTAAGGAGTTTGGTGAGGAAGTTTTAAGATCGACCTATTAAGTCGATTCAATAACAATATCAAATAGTTTCTTTAGTTTTAAATTTCATCTTTTTTTTTCATGTGAATTCTTTAGATTTTTTTTTTAAATATCATCCTTCAATATGTGGTTGGTTTGAATTTATCTTTATAATTTGTTATAATTTTTTTATAAAATTATTATAATTTCAAACAAATACTATAATATTTGGTTGATATTTAATTTTACGAGTATTTATTTTTGTTATCATATTTTTATATAAAAAAATTAACAAAAAAACAAAGTTGTTAAATTCAGTGAAGTCTATGATTCAGATTATAAGTTTGAAGGGTTAAGTCATGAAATCCAAGTCAATTTAATATCTTGCTATTTTAATATTAAGAAAAATATATCAAATGGAATTTTTTTTTAAAAATCAAACATGCTAATTAATTTTAAACCTATCAAATAAATTAAATTATATTAAAATAATTTTTATATGAGTTAATTTTAGAACTAAGCTTAGCAAAAAATCAAGTCAAAAGAATTCAAAGGTGATTCATTTGGTTTTAATAATAATATTAAATATATTAAAAAAAATCAAACCTTTAACATAAAAAAATAATTGTGATCATAAAAATAAAGATTAAATTCAACAATAAAAATTAAAATCAAATAATTAGAGATTAAATTTAAAACTAAAATTCAATAAAAAAATTAAAAGTATAATAAAAAGAACGAGGATTGAAATTGATAAAAAAAACATAAAAAATAAAATATTAATAAATAAAATTAAAAAACTAATAAAAAAATTCGATACAATTAAAATATTGAGGATTATTTTGCATGACCAACACATCCTTTAAGGTGGAGGAGACATAAAAGAGAAAGGAAACAAATTATTGTTGAAGCTTTTTTGTGCAATGAATATCAACACGTGTTAGCTGGAAGGCTACTAATAGCCATTAGGAGGCACAACACTTGTCATCAAAAGGGTGTTGGTGCCTCTATCTTACTAGCACAAGCATTTATTTTTTTGTTTTTTCTTTAATTATAGACAGACCAAATCACTCTTGAATACATAAGATAATTGCAAGAAAATCAAGACTTATAAACTAAAAATACCTCTTTATCTTAGGCAAAAAAAGTTGACCGCAAGAGCTATGTGGTAATCATGTTGTATTAAAAATATAAAAATCCAAAAACACCCCTTAAACAAAACAATCATTTTATTATGGATTGAATTGTTCACAATCTATAGTAAAATATTGATGCATGTGCTAACTATTTTTTTTCTTTTGCATTATAGAAGAACTAGAACACTCTTGACCCCACAAGAAAATTAAGTTTAAAAAACCAAAAACACCCCTTTAGCATAGAAAAAAAAAACATTGACCTTACGGGCTAAGTGGTAATTACATTATACATAAATGTGCAAATCCAAAAACGCTCCTTAGACATTAGTTGTGTTACTTTTTTTTAGAGCATGAGCATAATTACATTGTGTAATAAATATATAAAAATATAATTTTACCCCTAAACATATGTTAAGTTCTTTGGTTTTTAAAGGGCAAAACTAGGGGTGATCATTTTGGTTTGATTCGATTTTTTATCTAAACAAGTAATCAAAATTAAAAAAATTTAAATCAGAATTGAACTGGAACTAGTTCAAATCAACTGATTTTGATTCAGTTAATTTAACATAAAAACTAGAAAACCTGAATTTTTTATTTGGGCTTTTTGATGGGCTTATAGTTAATGTTAATATTATCTTATTTTGTTACAAGATTCTATAATATATTTAATTTTTTAATCATTGAATATTCATTTATATTAAATTATTAGTGTCAATATTGTGTTTAAAATTAATTAAAATTCTTTCTAATATTTATGTTTTTGACCCTCCTGCATTAGAGTTTAAATAACAAACACACCAAGTTAAAATCTAAATTATAGAGCATTGCCTTCAAAAAGGCTTAAAAAAACAACAAATAACATTGTCGTAAAAAATAAAACACTTCATGCAAAAAATATAGATATTCATTGTGCACATCATCCCAATCAAAAAGCACATCAAGATGATAAGAACATTACATTTTGATTCCTTAATATCATTGACATCAAAATCCAGAATTTAAAATCTAAAATTATAACATGATAAAATAAATTAGAATATGTAAAAATAAAAAGTAGTATTTTACTATCAAACTAATTATCATATGTTACTTGTTATAACTTTCCATCAAATTCTACAAAATAAAAAATTAGATATATTAGATGAATGCAAACACTTTAATTAATAAATCACAAAATAAAAGATGTAAGTTTATTAAAAAAAAAAACTTACCTCACTAAAGGTTTTCATAGATTTCAAGATCATTTATCAAGCTTCTAATATCAGTCGCAATTGATCTATGATGTAACTAATTTTGACAACAAATGAGTGCTTGAACAATTATTAGAGATAGAAAACTTAGAAATTGATCAAGTATATGACCATTTGTGCTAAATGTTGATTCAGAAGCCACTATGGATATAAGAATAGTCATAACATGTTGTGCAACCTTTGACAATGTCTTATATTTCAAAGCATTACTTTACCACCAACCCAAAACATCCAACTTCTCATCATTAGAATAATCACAACTGTCAATCAAATACCTCTCAACCTCATTTCTATTTTTCACAATATTCACCTCCTGTAAATGTCTTTTGAATCAAGTCAAAGTATTAACATCTACCTATAGATCATCACTAATAGCATCAACATCTTGTTTACGTCCATTATTATCCACCATTTTATCAATTTTTAAATAAAACTCATACAAGCTTACCAAAGTATCTTTAACCTTATTTGTTAGTAATTGTGCTTTATCATAATCATACAAATCACTAAAAATATTTTCATATATTTCAACTTCAAATGTGGATCTAAAACATTAGCCATATATAACAAAAAAAAATTGATTCACTTCACAACCCTAATACTTCTCAAACTTTAACATCATAGTCATCGTCATTCTACTTAAAAGATTATCTTTATTTTTATATAATTGTAACAAGTTTGTATACATGTAAATTAATTCATCGAAGAAAGAATTTGACATGACATGTAATGAGTCAGAAAACCTTAATATAACTATGTAAAAGATCTTTAAGAACTTCACCAAAGTTCTAGCATTTTTCCAATCCTCCAAACTAGATGACTCTATGTTTTTTTATTTCTTTTTAAATCAACCTCCAAAAAATAACTCATATACCTAGGTTTTTTTTCACCTAACCTCACAAACACCCTTTCTAACTTTTCAGTAGCTTCTAGCATAAGATAAGTTGAATTCCATTAGGTTGCAACATCTAAACACAATGATTTCTTATACTATACATGTAACTTTTCTAAACACTTCTTAAATGCAAATAGCTTCGACAGTAAAGATCTCACAAATCTAATTGCATTTTAAATCTTAACAACTGAAACATTAATCTCTTTCAAGTCATTACACATAATGAGATTTATAATGTGTACACAACATCTAACATGCAAATGCTCATTTGACAATATATTAGTTAGCCAATCTTTCATCACATTTTTCAAAAATAAAATAATTACATTATTAGAGCTTGCATTATCTACTATAATAGTCAAAACTTTATCAATCCCTCACTCTAACATACAATTCTTAATAACTTGACTAATTGTTTTACCTATATGATTGGAAACTTGACAAAAATTAGAAATTTTTTTATGCAAATTTCACTCGTTATCAATCCAATGAGCTGTTAAACACATATAATTAATATTTTGGATTGATATCCATGTATCTATTGTTAAACACAATTATTGACCCCTAAGAGCTATCCTTAATCTATCCTTCTCTTCAAAATAAAGTTTCAAACAATTTCACATAATAGTGAAATGAGAAGGAATGTAAAATCTAGGTTGCATAGTCTTAGCAAACAATTTAAATCTCTAACCCTCCACAAAATTAAAAGGCAACTCATCAATTATAACCATATTTACTAGTGTTTCTACATTCATCATAATTATAACGTATTACCTTAAAAGTTACTCTATTTTGATATTTCAATTCACCCTTCTCTATTTTAGATTCTAATACCAAAACTTTTTGTTTCCTATCAACCATAAAAGAAAATTTTTTGTACACTTCTAAATGAGTTCACATATTACTTGTGTCATTAACAATAGTATGACATGCATAATATTTTCCATAATAATTACATTCAGCTCTAGAGGCTTTAGGATCAACATCAAGTTTTGTAAAGTGATCATAAATTTATGATTTTTTTTATCATTAACATTCCTTTTTCCTAGATGCAAGGACTTGAGGTTCTTTACTTTTTGTATTTGTTGTGGATCCTGTGGTATTTGATTCTGGATTAGTTTTTAAAGCTAGAGAATTGGTTGATGCTGGTATGATGCCTGTGGATGAAGCACTTTGAATTTGAAGATTTTCCATCTATTATTACATAATAAAACATGTTAATGACCATAATTTATATGAGACTTAAATGTATTAATTTTTTTTTAAAAATTAATAGTAATAAATCTGTTTATACTTTATAGTATAGTGATAATGATTACTGATGATAATTCATGCTTATATATTTCTACAAGCAAAATAATGGTATATCCTTTCCAAAATGCATAACAATATTAATATAACAATACTAATTATTCACGTTCTACTTGATATAATAGCATAATAATATATTAACCTTTAATTGCACTCAAGCAAAACAGTGGTATATCCTTTCCAAAATGCATAACAATATTAATATAACAATACTAATTATTCAAGTTCTACAAGATATAATAGCATAACAATTGCTTGACCGCTTTTTATGATCGGCTTGTTTTAACTCACAAGTGCACGAGTGTGCGATGTAGCAATTAACTCGGTAAGATCGAGGTCATATCCACAGAGAGCTAGATCTGGAAATTAAGCTAGGTAACAAAAAAAAACTCAAGAGAAAGTAAATTAACAATAACTTGGTTGAAAATAATTGATGGATTTGTTTTCAAAGATGAAAAAGTGTAAATAGTTTTTAAATGACAAGAAAAAGTAAGTCTTGGTCCAAATCAATTTTAATGGTGATGTATTGGTGATTTCTTCAACATATATAAGATAACTCAACCTAATATCAACGATGGTGATATTAGATCGAAAGATATTACAACGAAGATTAGAAAGATGAAGATTGATTATTGCTTAAGAATGAACAAGTACTTTCATATTAAGTAAGACATTGAATCAAGCAATCTCTATACCAAAACTAAAGTTTGTGCATAAAAATTCAAGATTATAACATTACCTAAATGATTTCTAAAATTTCTTTACAATAATAAATCATTCATGAAGAAAATAAGAAGATAAACATTAAGATTCATTCATATCCTAAAGAACTCACCTCAATCACCATTATCCTTGATTTGGATCCAAGAAAGAGTTTAGCCAACCATGATTATATATAAGAACACTTCAATAAACATGAAAGAACTTGAATCCAACTGAAATAATAAGTTTTACAAACTAAAGAACCAAAATTTATAAAGAAGAACACAATACAATTTCAGAAAAAATTCGGACACAAATCTGACTCTAACTTTGGACAGCAATTCGACCCTCTTAGAAGCTTGTTTTTGAGAAGTCTATTAGAGACATATTTATAGGCAATTTTTTCACCTTTCCAAATCATTAAAGAACAGCTTATTTGGACACCTGAGTCAAAAGTTATGGGCAAAACACCGAAAGGTGTTCTGAAAAATCAAATCAAGACAGCTTTACAACTACTTTGGTGCACGTTTTTCTTCCTCATTTATGAGGTGTCTCCTTCTTCTTTTTGACCCAAAATAATGTTAAAATATCCCCTCTAGCTTTCCATCCATGTGCTTACCTTCTTGGATCAATGGATTACCCAAAATAAATCAATTGTTATTTGTTGTGTGGACATGTAAGATCATGGATTGTGTTTGGGTTGATTTGAAGGTTGATTTGGGGTTGATTTAGGGCTGATTTGGGGCTGATTTTGGGCTGAATTTGAGCGTCAAATAAGTATACAAATGTACTTATTATTTGGGCTAAGATTGACATTGAAACCTTGAGTGTTTAATGGTTGAAGTTTGCACACAACATAAGGCAAGTTTGGGCTTGAAATAAATCATATGATATTCTTTTCTAGAATTGGAATAGAATTGATTTTTGGGATAAATTTGGAGCACTTATTGGAACCAAGATTTGCTTCAATCTTCAACTAAATGTCTCTTCAATTCTTTGTTCTGAATTCCGACGTTGAATTTTCTGAATTAATTCATTTAAGCTCCAAAAGCCTATCGAAACATTAAAACAAACTTCATTACTAAAAAACACATCAATTATTATAAAAACAACCAAATAAAAATAATAAATACATATGTAAAATAAGAGACTTAATGACACTTTTGATGCACAATCAACAATATATTAACCTCTAATTGCACTCAATTATGAGAAATTTGCTAAAACAAAATGTTATTGCTAGATAATTTATACAAGCAAACATGTGAAACACAATTCAAGAAATTAGTTGCCATAATGAACTATGGAGAAAATTTAGTTTAATAAAGATAGAAAACAATATTTATCATTTCTAGAAAACAAAAAGAAATGAACAATGAACAATTAAACTATAGCTCATGGATTAAGGAATCACAAGGAATATAAACCATGGTTTTTAACCGTATGTACATGCTTTCTTGGAATATATTCATGAAAATTAATTGAAAGTCTTTGCATAAATATGGGCGAATAGGATGAATGTCTAAGACATTGAATAATTTTGGTAACTGCATCAAAAAATCATCCCTTTACTAAATTTAAGCATATTCCTAGAATCCCAAATTAACCAAAATACCACTCTAAGCTCAAACTTTGATTTTTTTTTGTAAGAATATACCATTTTAACAAATACACAGATCATAAAGCATATGTTTTTAAAGAAAAATAGAGATTGATAAAAAAGAATTCATACCTAGTGTGACAAGATTCAAGGCTTGATCGGGTGTGAGAAAGGGAGACGACTAGTTTGTTAGATCTGGAGGTTAGGTGTGGTGTGTGTCATGCTCGTATGGGAGACTAGGAGAGGGATATATTATTAGATTTGTAGAGTCAGGAGAATAGAGATGAGGATTGATTATTTTTTATTTGGTTTGTAAGGGTTGATAGGGGGAGGTTGGACGGTTGAGATTGTGAGAGATTTTGAGATTGTGAGTTTAAGACTTGAGAAAGATTTGTGAATTTGTGAGGGTTGAGAGGGGGTGACTGGATGTAGAGGACAGGTATTGCTTGCTAGGGTTAAGAATTTTTGTATTTATAGTACCCTTTAATTGAACCGGTTCAATTTGATTCGGTTTGGTTCGGTTAGGGTTTGATCGGTTTCAGGTTTCTTAAATCAAAACCGAACTAAATTTTTTTTTAAAAATTAATTAGTTTAATAAGTTTGTTTTTATAATTCAACTTTTTTTTCTCGATTTAATTAGTTTTTTAATTATTTTACTTACCCCTAGGCAAAACAGTCATTTTACTATGATTTCACTATTCACAATCCACATGTAAAACACTTATGCCTTTTAGCTTTACTTAGTTAGGTGGTCGATGCTATACCGTAGGCCAATCTATTATTTTATGATATAAAAAATATCAAAACAATGTAAACATTTCTTAAAAAAGAAGAAAATATAATACTCATGTAATTGGTCAAATGATTTTAATAAACCTAGTTAAATTAATAATATCATTACAAAATAAGATATTGACTAAAAATAAAGTAGGAAAAAAAACAATTCAATATGAAAGATGACCGCATGCTAATATTATAAAAATATATCTTCACAATATTCCCAAAATGTCTCAATGACCTCATATGTTAACAAAGTAAAAATTAAATAAGAATAGGATAATCACATGGAAAGAAAAAAAATTATAAATCTAAAAATAAATAAATAAAAAATCAAATCATATTAACGTTTTGAACCATGACTCGGGTTAAAAGATAAAAAACAATGTACATAAAAAAATAAAATCATGAAGGGTTAAAATTATACAAAATAAAAACAACATAAAAAATCCAAAATAAAAAAATACAATAAAAATAATAAGGGTTAAAATTGAAATAAAAAATAAATCAAAGGGGGCTATAAAAAAATTTAAAATTTGAAGTTAAATTGAAAAGAATAAAAACATTGACAAAATGACAAAAAATAAAAGAATGAATATTAAACTGAAAAAACAGAAAAAACACCATATACTATAAACTTGGATTGAATAGCGAAATTAAAAACAATGAAACTTTTATAAAAGGTTCAAAGAAAAAAAATCTTAAGAATAAACATCAAATCTAAAACAACACAACACAATAAACAAATAATTGAATATGCAGAATTCTTCAACATGTTTTTTTACACTAAAAAAACTCTTAAATGTAAATCAAAAAATTTATATATACATCGAATTAAATAAATTAACAATCATTGTGTAAAGTAATGAAAAACAATTCATCAACAATAAATAAAAACACAATTGAAAAAACTAAACAACAAATGAAGATTAAGATATTTAACATCAGAACACATGTAATTTGCCTCGTTGGGTTTAATAAATTCCTCTATCAAAATAAATTTGTAATAGAAAACATATAAATTTTTTAATAGAAACCAACAAACAAATAAAATTTATTGAATAATAAAAAAACAGTGTAAGGATGGATATACAAAAAATCTTATAAAAAATCAAGTTAAAAAAACAAATTTAATCTATATAAAATTAAGAAAAAATCACAGATGAATCGTACCTCTATCTTTAAAAAATAAACACGCCTAATATCATTTAAAAATAATTACAATCTACTTAAAATATCAACCCATAATTTATTTGAAAAAAATACATTCAAATATTGCATTTAAAAAAAAAACAAATTAGACCAGATGTTGTTGGGCTTGGTAAGTCATGCCTAGCGTTTAGTCCAAGAACGTTATGACCCATGCGAGAGCTTTATTTTTTTAAGTTTAATAGGGCATTTAAAAAAATGATGTGTTGTAAAAAAGCCTAAAATCCACTTGAAAAAAATCTTCTCGAGCTCAGGTCTATTTTTTTTAAGGTGTTTTAATGATTAAAAAAATAAAACTAATTGTAACCCGTTTCACAATAGAGAATTTTTGACACAAAAATTAATTGTTTTGGTGGTCATAATCTTCTTCAAGGGCAACTTTCTCTCTCTAAGCAGGAATCTAACATCTTTTACCACTAAAAAAAGACTAAAAAAATAGGAAAACAAAGGAAGATACCAAAATGTATTTTCTTGAAATTCAAGGGATTGATTATCTAATATCTGAAAAGGATGGGGAACTAAAATGAATGTTTTAATAAAATTTAAAAATTGCCCCTTATGTTACTCGAGATTTTCATTTCAATTCCTAATCTTTCAATTTAGTCCTCCCTCCTAAAACGTATACAATTGGGGGCTAATTTGAACTAAATAAAGGTCAAATCACATGAAATAAAAAATTTAAGAATTAAAGTGGAAATTACAAAAAAAAAAAAAACATTGCTTCAATCCACAGTGTATTGTGAGAGGGTGAATAGTAAATAAAAAAGATGATCTCTTTTAGTATATTGTACTATATAGGAGGTATACGCTACATTGTAAACCTATCTTTTCTTTTATTTTTTTTTTATCATAGAAAAGATATGAAGATTGTTGTTACTCATTTTTAGAATCCACATGCTAAAGATGGTGTTTTTCTCTTTTGAACTGAGTATAGAAGTTTAGCTCATGTTTGCTGGAAGATTGACAAAAGCAAAGAAAGAAATATGTTTTTTAAAACCCTATTTGAGATGTTTTCTGCTCTCTTTATCCTTTTCATTTATTTGTCAAAATTATCAGGTTTTTTTAGATTGATTAGGAGTCTTAATAATGCTAAATTCGTTTCTTCTCTATCTTGTCTTTAAGGTTGGATAAATCTCCCAGAATTTGCACTAAAAAAACTGATTATGTTGTTGTTGCAATTTTTTGTTCTAACTAAGTCTTTGATTCTGGCTTAGTTTCGTACGATATCTAACCATCCTAACTATATTTTTTCACTCATAATATGTTAAAAAATTGACTTACACCTTTATTAGGTCTTAAGGATCACTTTTCTTAGAGCAGACTCTTAGTCAGATTTAGATGCTCAGCAATGTCAGATTAAGAACCTTTTTAACCAACTAGATTACTACCAGATTTTGTTCTCTAAAATGATTTTATTTCACTTTGACTCCTTCATCAAAGTTATAGTTCTAAACATGTAGATAAATTTGGACTTTTGAATCGCATGATTTTGATATTAAAACTCAAAATATTTTTGTTTGAATATCTAACATGAAAGTAGAGATTTCTGCCACAAGAAGGATCTTGACCCGAGTTTTGCACTAAAAAACTCTATTTCCATCACAAATTTTATGATTGTTGTTCTTAGGTCATTCTCTCAGTCATATCAGGATGCTCGACATTATCAGTTTCTGAATTATATTAGGAGATCATTTTTTAACAACTAGATTACTATCAAATTCTATTCTCTAAAATGATTTTATCTCACTTCGACTCATTTATCAAAGTTATAGTCCTGGATGTATAAATAAATTTAGGCTTTTGAATCACTTGATTTCAATATCAAAAGATCAATATATTTCTGTCACGAGAAGGAATTTTTTTCCCCAAGTTAGCAGGGACACAATTGCAAGATACTTAAAGATTGAAGACCAATTGCAGGCCAATTTGAAGCCCTTTTTTGGACCAAGGACCAAACAGAAAAGGTGTTAAAATAAGAGAGTTAATTAAAGATAAAATTAGTAGAAATTTTGTCAGGAGAAGAAATTAAAGAACATGAATTAGATCAGAAAAGGAAAATTATGCCTCCCCATCTACAATTCTTTCTTTTTTTTATGCACAGTTACCCTGGTTATCTTCTTTCCTTTTATCTGCAAACCATATTGTTTTGCCTTATTTCAAAGTATGTAGTTGGTGCCTCATGGTCCTAGCTATGAAAGGATGAAAAGGAGTTGCAGCATTGACACAACTAAAAGATTGATGTCTTCTCCCAAGTGTAGGAGTGTCAAAGTAATAAATAACCTGGCAAGACTAGGATTGAATCTCAGGAAGGTTAATTATTATAATTATAAATAACAACAATAGTAACAATAACAACAAAAACAACAACAACAATAATAATAGTAATAGTAATAGTAATAGTAATAATAAAGAAAAAGAAGAAGAAGAAGAAGAAGAAAAGTTGATGAGAACTTTGAGATGGAAAATTAACGTAAGGATTAAACAATAATGACAATGAATGTCAATGTTAGAGGATTCACTAATGGTATGTCAAACAAGTATAGTATAAACTCTTATTATTCAATTGAAAACCACACACAAAGGAGGTTCCAATTAGATTATAGATTATTAACATGATTACATTAGTCATCTTATTCGATTAATGCTAATACTTGTAAATCTTGTCAAGCATTCATGATTATAACTTATATTAACAACAAATCAAGTTCCTTTCATAGCTCAGGTATTAATTATACCATACAGTATGAGTTATGAAAGTATCAAGCATTTATTGTACCAAGTGTTATACAACATAAATCAAGATTAGTCATTTAACAAGCAAAGTATTAAAGAGTGAACAAGATAACAAAAACAAAACATGTTAGTATCGAACATTAAAGTCCATATTGAGTTTACACTATACTTATTTATTTTTCTATCGAACATTAAAGTTCTTAAATAACTAAAATAAGAACATAAATAAGATAAAAGTTACCTAAGTAAATGAAAAGAAATGAAAGGTATAAACTTGATATTAATGAAAGTAAAGTATAAACATTACAAAAAATACAAAGAGAGAAAGTAAGAGCATGATCTTGATCTGGAAACCAAGATGCCTAAATGCATGACAAATGCCTCCTTTTATAGGCTAAAATTAGGAACTATTGATTTGATGACTAATTAATGAGTGGGTGACCAACTCTTGACTTGGTAACAATCTTTATCTTCTCTTGTCTGCCCAAAATGTCATTGATAACGTCAAAATTGGAGTCACTTGAAAACATGAAAGTTGTAGGAAATTGTTTTAGCTTTCTTGTAAAAACTTCAGCTCATTTGGACTTCTATAACTCTAGATATAGGCCAAATACTGAACAGTGCTCGGGCTGGAAGACAGATTTGGACTTCTTTGTTGTTGCTACAATTTGGACTTAAAAATGACTTTTTTAGATCTTGGGCTCTATATAAAAGTTGGAGGCCTATATCTTACCTTTCCATCCATATAAAGTAGACCTAAATCTGAGATCAACAGCTCCATAAATGACCCAATTACCGAACAGTATTCAGGTTTGGATTGCACCGACATCTCTTTTCTAAGTTTGGCCATCTCTTTGTCCTTCCAATTTCAGTTTTTAAATTCATCAATCAATTCTTTCATTTATGTGATAGGTCTGTATTTAACATGAATATTTACCATAAATTAAAGGTATCTTATATCATTAGATATAATATTATAAAACATGTTTTATTTAAGGAGTTATTGATACTTCAAGTGCAAAATGATGATATAAAATCTTGCTAAAAATACATTTTTAAGTCTCAATCAAGCATCATTTAACTTGGAAGGAAATCACTGCTAATTACATAATCAGAATCAAACATTCTGGTTTTCTATTTTTTGCTCACCCGAGATTACAACCTAAAATTAATGCAATTTTTTTTTCATAAATAGAGCTGCATGTTAGGCTATATAAGCCTTTTCTATTGAGGGAAGAAAAGAGGAGAGAAAAGAAAAAATGGAGAAAAAATAGAAAAAAGAAGACAAGAAAAATAAACAGTTAGGAAAGAAAAAAAAACACAAAGAACATAGGGTTTCTTTCCTTCATCCTTGCGTTGCTGTGACTTCAGGAAGGTGAGTAGAAGAAGAGAAAGTGGAGAAGAAAGAGCAAGAAAAACAAGAGAAGAAAGAGAAACCATAAGCAAGCAGGGACTCCCTTTTGATCTTTGCTTTTATTTTTTTGCATATAACATCTGCAGAACAAGGAATAAGAAAGTGCAAGAACCAGGAAGAGAGAGTGATAAAAACATAGAGGAAAGAAAAAACCAAAAAACATATGCAAATACAGGATAAGAGGAAAAGGCTTGAAACAGACGACGCTTTCAACGTCGCTGCAGCTTCTTCGCTTTCGCCTCTAGTTTTGTTCTCTTCACCTCTCACACCATGCATTTTTTTTCTTTATGTTTGCATTGTTCAGGAGAATTTTAATTCACTTGAACAATAACATGGTCTCTTTGCAATTGTGTTATTTTTTATCTATACTGTTTAAGTGAATTAATTCACTTAAACAGTAGCTCGCCATTCTTTGAGATGATTGCGCCGCTTTTATGTCCAACCGGGTCACTTGCCCAAGCAAGTGACCCGATTGAACCTATTGTTTTTTTCTTTAAAAAAAATAAAAGAAAGAGAGAGATTTATGATTTTCTAGCATATTTATTTTAAGGTTTGAATTTTTTAATGTTGTAAAAAAAAATATCAATCTCATAATCTTGTATTTAGAA